TAAAAAATCAATAATGGCCAAATCAATTCGAGAAAAACTCGTAAACTTTAACTACTCTTGTTTTTAAATGTGATTTTTATTTTAGTTAACTTTTGTTAGCATTAAGCATAACGGGACTGTCATTTTACAGATTTTAAAGGATCTATCAAAAGTCTACGTTAAATTATAATTTTTTATACAAAATATCAACTCTTTGTAATTTATCCCTCATGCTGCACTCAAAAAAAAACATCCTGTAGGTCATGTCCGAACTAGTCTACTTACCTGGGGATTAATAAGTAATAAGTAATTTTCATTATTAAAATTTAAGTACCAATCAAATCGAAATACAAAATTCCTAATTGTTTTTAATATTGGCCAAACACATTAGGGGTTTTTCCCGGTAGGTAAGTATGGCTTTTTTCTAGGAGACTTCAGGTAGACCAGCTTAATATAATCTATTTCGCTGTGAATTTAAATTTTATCCGTTTATTAATAATCCTAATTACATTGTTTCTGTAACCAAACCCCTCACCCCGAATGTCTTAATAAAAACTATATTATTAATATAATATTATTACACCTAAAAATTTTATTATTATTCTTTAGTGGAATCGCGACTGAATTATGCTATACTAAGTTGGGGCGAAGCTGTATACTGTCATTTAAAACAATTAGATATTCTACAGAAAAAATATTAGAAATCATTTATAGTAAAAAAAATCACTTTTCCCTCTGACTTATTATTTTTTGAAATTGGTATTTTGGATATAAGACAGCTCTCTATGCAATAAATAATTTGCCTGCTTAAAATAAAAAATATTTTAAACATAATTAGCCAGTCACTCTACAAGATATAAAAAAAATACTGAAGATATGTAGAAAAAAATGTTTACCTCAGATGTTATACTCACCTAGCATTCAAAATATATTATAATTTACGAGACATTTATAGAATATATTTGCAAACACTCAATTCAAATATGATTAAATCTATTTTTAAAAAATATATTGTAATGACGGGTAGACAAGAAACTAGAAGTACTGATATATATTTAGCCTCATTCAAAAATTCAAATTAGTAATATTTTTTTATAACTTATATAGAACCATTTAAATCATCCTATAATCACTTGTATCTTATGTTTATCTAATATACACATATAATATCCTCGTTTTTTGTACTTTTAAAATGGAATGTGTATTTTTTTTTCTTTTCTAATTTTGTATTGAAAGAAGGAATAAACATAATTAATAATATTATAATGAAGCTTATTTTTCTATTAAAGTATTAGGAAAATATTGAAATGTCAAACTATTTTTTTTTAATTACACAATAGTTGATTCTTCTATATGAATTTAAATTTTAAAAAACGGCACTAAAATTTTAAGATAAACTTTTATTTTACGACTTACCCAGCACAGGTTTCCTCAACATTCTGCAATTCAGTTAAAGGCTGAACAATGTTTTGTAATCTCCGATTTTCATAATAGCTGGAATATAAATTATATTTTACTTTTCAAGAAGAAAATTATAACTAAATATTGCTTTTATAAATAAAATACTCACGCTTTCATTATATTTCGACGACTTTTCCTTTTAGCACAAAACGTTAAATGTCCTTTATCAAAACTTCTTCTACCCATGTTCACTCAAAAGCGCTTAAATCGATAAAAATGTTATGTTCTCTTCGTATTTAAAACAAATAACTAATTTGACGCGCGCCTCTGGTAACCCTTCGATCACAATGTGCAACTGAGAATAAGCGAACAGGTTAAAATAAGCGGTGGCAGCACCTTACGGAGTTTTAATACAAAAAGGTGGGAATACTTCTCATTTAAATTACACTTGATATATAAAAAAAACAAAATCGGCAAAATATTGCAGGTTTAGTACAGTTTTGAGGAGAAAACTTTTTTCCCAAAAGTCGATTAAATAGTTAAAAAAAATACGTTTCGAAGGTTTACAAAAAAATCAAGGACTGTCACGGAAACAATTATTACTTCCGAATTGCTATCTGAATTTTCATAAATATCGAATAAAAAATAACAAATCTAGAAGTAATCGCAGTTTTGTGTGTGTCCGGTTTCCTCTTAAATGCAGCTTTTTATTAAGATTTCTTTAAAGACGGGGTCTCCCTATTTAGACCTGTAGACCAAGGATTTAATTCCGAAAATGTTAAATTTAAAAATGTAATTTTCAGCCAAATTAAAGATAAATGTCTTACTTAGGTAGGCTTACTATTTTAAATTGATGAATAATTCATTTTCAATTAAAAGAATAATTTTAAAGTAAAAAATTGTTGAATGTCTCCATGGAAATTAAAAAAATGGTGCTATTTTAAAATTATAGTTTTTATTAAAAATCGTCAATTATTGACGAATATTAAACAATTTAAAATAGTAAGACTACATGAGTTAAGACCTGTATCTCCAGTTGGGTTGAAAATTAGTTTTTTAATGCCCTACTTTCGGAAATCGGTCAATTTAACTTTTGGTCTTCAGCAGCCATTTTAAACTGGTTTTTGGCATTAATTTTAACACAACACAAAAATGCATGTCTTTAAAGAGAATCGAAATACCTTTCAAATGATGTGCCACCTAACCATCCGTGCCATTAAAGATTCTCGAAGGGGTTGCCACCCCTTTTAGGGGGATGACCGTACAACTATGAGTTAACGATCAAAAGTTGTCCCCCTCGAAAACAAAATCGACGTGTCTCGGGGTTTGTCACAAAAACCTCCCCCACCAATAATATTTGAGATGGACTGTTTCTAATGCGCCACCCAGTATATTTACCTCATAACACTAATATGTTACAAAAATCTCCAATTTTAGGCAGATTTATGGAAGTTATTGCATTATTTTTATTGTATCTTTTCGTTTTGAAACGTTTAAATCACCTTTATGAAAATGGGAGGAGCAAATAGCGTTATTTGTACTTATATGTATTTTCCAATAGATTTCTTCCAATAGCTATTAACCAAGAAACATACGCTTTTTGCTCGATCTAAAAAATGTATAACAATTTCAACGTTAGATACCTACATACAGTTTGTTACTGTACTACATTTCGTTTTATAGAAAATATAGTCTAAAAAATGTTATAAATAATGAATACGGTTCTGGTAGAAAAGATGTCTTACTTGTGTTTTCTGAATCCTCGTTGTTTAAACAACCAAAAACAAAGCACGTCTTCCCATTTTATAAATTGACTATAGTAAAATTTCTAAAATTCTATTAAATTCACTAAAATAGCGAATTTCGTAAAAAACCAAGACGAGTTGACATAAATGACACTTCTGTCTCAACACTACAGCAACCGCGCATGTGCGTGATACGCTTAAATTGCAAACATGGCGACTTACATGGTATGCTTATTTTGAAACAAGGGGGAAAATGGCCTTTTCCTATCTCCTCTATCCAAATCTGTGGTTGTCTCTGATCTCAATATTGTGAATTTGTAGATATCCATTTATCATAAGAAACAAAATTTTTACGATTTACGCTTGGAAAATAATGAATATTTCAGATTTGATTTTGACAATATAGATTGCAATTTGCTGGGGGCTTTTTCACAGATTTCATTTTTAATAGTGATGTCATTTTGGTTCCACCGACATTTAATTCTAACCAAACTTTTAACAAAACCTCAATAAATTTGACATTTCGTTTTTGCTGTTTTTAGTTTTTCTAAATATTATTTACAGGTCATGAAAAATAGTTTAAAGGTATGTAATTGGTAACTAAACGATTGTATATTTGATGCATGTTATCTACTTACTTTAGGAATATATTTATAAAAGTAAAAAACAAAAGGCACTCAAAAAATCTACACTTTGTCAGTGGAACCATAATTACATCATCACTGAACTAGCGTATATCCTACTTATAGATACTTTTAACAAATTTCCTCGAGAGGGCGTATCACTTAGCTTAAATCGCGAATGAGTTTTTATAATTGAAGGGTGTCTGACAGGGGGTTGCAACTGTACTGTCTGATAATGGACGACGTGATTTCGAATATAATTCCAAATAACATAAATAAAAACTGAGCTTTATACTTTAATGAATTTGAGGTACAATTTTATATACCTTTGCTACCAGTTACCTTAAGCCACCGTGATCCAAACTTCATAATCAGGGATCGTGTTTACCTGTATTAGGGACATACACAGAGAAACTCTTAGGTTTTATAACATAACGAAGGTCTGATCGTCGCGGGCTCTTGCTATATAAGTGAACTAAATTGTAGGTAAAGGTTGAACTCTGGTCGTATTACTATTTATTTTTCTTATTTGTTTGAAATCGAGGTAAAATTAATTTTAAACGGCACCTTTGAGATTAAATAAAATGGGGTTGTTTTACAGGCTTTGTTTTTCTTGAAAATAATAAATTTATCAATTTTCAATAGTAAGACGACCAAAGTTAGACCTTTTTCTTTAATTATGGTTTTACTTATTATTGCATCTTTAGAAAAATAAAGATCAAAATTAAATATATTTTAATTTTTTTGGATAACACTTGAGAATTTAATTATTAAATATTTCTACTGTGGTTGAAAATGATTTTATTATATCTATGTAACATTGCAGAAATCATAAAAATTGTATAATCTTTCTTTTCTTACCTTACACCACTTTATTACAGAAAATTACGTTTTTCGGAGAAATCATTAATAAACAAACCTTTATTTTTCGGTAAAACAAGCTAGATACTAAAAAATTTATTCGGTAATCATTTACCTAAAATATAGATAAATACAAATATGTACAACTGAGATTAAATATAATACAAACTTTCTTTACAATATCAATAACAAATCAAACTTTCTAGTCATCTTTTTGAAAAAACTAATAAATTGCAACCTCTATAAAACAAGAGATTGGATGATATCTATCATACAAAACCTTATTGAAAGTATTTCAAAACTTGTTCAACTTTAAAAAATCTTGAGACATACATGCTTAAAACTAATTTGCAAATTGAAGTCCAACATAGTAAGTCAATTAACACTAGAATTATTCCAGTTCCAGACTTGCATATTCTTCAGGCGACACCTGAGTAACCATAAGGTTACCATCAGGTAACATCACCACAACTTTATGAGTACCACCTGGAATAAAACGCACAATTAGTAACCATTTTTTTTTTATTATTATCATTATTACCTGGACTTGGTGGCTCTGCCCTTACTACCTGCGCTACAACTTGGTCGCTGTTCTCTGCAGTGTCAGTTTTTATAGAAAGAGGTTCAGTGATATCCGTGCTGATGTCAGGCATTGAAATTTCTTGTGGTTGAGATTGTGCTTCTTCTGTTGCTGAACTGTCCGCGGTTTCAGCTACTTCATTGGTTACCAAAAGACATTGTTGTTGTCCATCACTACCTTGCGTCAATAATATGGTTTGTCCCTAAATAAACGAAAAATTACATATTATTGAAACTTAATTTGTATAACAGATTTAACTTATTATATAGGGTGTTTCAGAGATAAATGTATGTACACTAACTGTAGGTGTGGGACACTCGGATGATTCAACATCGCTTAATGGGTCTAGCATATTAACTTGACTGTTTTATGGATTTCATATAAATCTTTATTTGCCCAAAACGCAAAAACCACTCGGTATGAATATTTCAAATTTGGAATATAAATTTTGCTGGATTTGTCCATTTCTTTCCGCCTCAAAAACGATACCCTGTATTTTTTTGCATATCTAATAAGCTATTTTAAAAAACAGTAAAAAAAATGTTTTAGTTTTTCAAATTTGCGCATTTAGTTTTGGATGCCCTAATTTTTTGTTAAGGCTGCGACACTTGCGTCAGCGGTTTTGTAACAAAGCAAGTATTCAATACATTGTACATAGATGGCGATAACTATACCGCTAGCTCGATTTATAATTTTAAGTGTACTTGTTTTTATATCCAGGTTGCCAGATCTCTGTACACCGATACCAATAAATATTTTAGTAGAATAATATATTTGGGGATATCCAGTTTCAATTTAATAATTTTATTGCACTGTAACATGAAAAATTAATCTGTCAAAACATTACCTAGTTTTAAGTAGTAAGTAGGTTAAATGTGACAAAAAAAATTATTTTAGAATAATGTTTCAATATTTATTCAGATTACTAGTATATCGCAATTTTTGGGTTGGAGTGAAAGGTATTGGTAGAAATTTTATTACTTTATGGTTTTTCCTATTTGGAAGGATTTTGTTTACATTTTACCTAAAAATTTGCAAAACAACTAAATCGATTATTTTATAATTTGAATGATTCCAATATTAATTTCAATAATAAAATAAGCATTTGATTAGGTATGTAAAAATAAAATTTGACAAGAACATGATTGCTCATGCTTTCCTTGATAAGGCCGAAATTGTGAAAATTAAAAATCGATTGTATATATTGTACCTTATAAAATATGGGGCATCATACAAATGTCCCGAGTACAAAGATTTGAGCAAAACTGAATAAAATTTTTGTTGTTTTATACAAAAATAAAATTTAAAAATTGTAATTGCAAAGGATGTAGTATTAATGACGTCTCCAATATTATTTTTTAACAAAACAAACAAACAAACAAACAAACAAAAAATAATATTATTTGTGCAATTGGAAAATCGTGTTTTCCCAAAAATCGTTTTGTTCAAAGCTTCTCAATGAATAAAGTGTTACAAAAATTTAATGTTAAAGATATATAAAGGATTAATTTCCAATATTTTTACAAATCTATATTATATTTTAAAAATCGTACTAGATACCTGTTAAGATAGTATACACTTGATTACACCTGTGAAATTAGGCGAAAAACCGTACATATTCGTGACTCTTTAAAAGGTTTTTATTGTTTTTCTCGGAAGGCTGATTTTGGACATGTACGG